AAAAAATTAAAAAGTTTCTGTACAAAAATGGAAACAATTCAAAATGTGAAGACAGAACCTATAGAATGGGGAAAATCTCTACCAGCTACTCTTCTGACAGAGGATTACTAGCTAAAATATATAAAGAACTAAAAACACTCAATWAAATAAATACCAAAATCAAGTGGACAAATAAGCAAACAGACACTTCTCAAAAGAAGAAGTACAAAAGGCCAACAACTATAYGAAATAATGTTCAACATCTTTAGCAGTTAGGTAAATGCAAATCAAAACTACACTGAGATTTCATCTCCAGTCAAAATGGCAGCCATCAAAAATATAAATAATAGGGTATGGAGAAAAAAGAACACTGTTACATTGTTGGTGGGATTGTAAATTAGTACAACTATGTAATCAGTTTTGAGGTTCCTCAAGAGACTAGAAATGGAACCATCTTATGACCCAGCTATACCACACATCAGTATTCAACCTAAAGCATTAAAGTCATCTTACTATAGTAATACATGCGTACCCACGTTTATAGCAGCACAATTCACAATAGCCAAACCATGGAATCAGCCTAGGTATCTACCAATAGATGAATGGATAAAGAAAATGTGGTACATGAACACAATGGAGTTTTATTCATCCATTAAGAAGAATGAAATTATGTCACTTGCAGGAAAATGCATGGAACTTGAGAGCATTAAGTAAAATAAGCCAAACTGAGAAAGTCAAGTGTCATATGTTCTCTCACTTTGGAAACTAGAGAAGAAAACAGAAAATTCTAGGGGGAGGGGGTCAAAGGGAGACCAGTAGAAGAGGAAAAGAGATCAGGGAAAGGGAGAAAAGGGAAAGGGGAACTACTGGAGACTGACAGTGACCAAATTATGCTGTTATATCATGTGCATGTAAGAATATATAACAATGAATCCACTATAACATATAAAACCAGGCACCAATAAAAAAACATGGAAAAAAAGAATAGTTATAACCTTGTATTTAACTTTAAAACTATTGTATTTAACTTTAAAACTTTAAAAAGTAAGTAAAAACTTAACAGAAATGTGAACATTTATTTTATTTTATAATATTTTATCTTACCAAAATGAATTACAAAAAAAAAAAAAAMCCACCAGAAATGTAGCAGGAAACTGTCTTTTTAGGATCAAACTCTATCTTGGCTTTAAGGATTTTATAAAACAAATTTAAAATGACAGTAGACTATAAGATTACAAGACTAAACAGATTCACAAATGTTATATCAAAAAGGCACAAAAAGTCACAATACATATTCCTTTGATACTGAACTACTAGGAATAAGTGAACAAGCTTCAAAAGAATGAAAGACTAAAGTCAAATTACATAACAAGTTCTAATAAACCATCTGTTGTATTTTATGTGATGTACATACCATCAATACTACGGAAATCCAGTAAGTAAGTTCTACTATCCACTTGGTATAACTGTAGACTCATTTTGGAGTATGTGCTTGTCACAGGATTCTTCCTTCGTACGCGCAAATAATAAGGGTTTACAACCTGGCGTACGATATTGACAAAAACAAAACAAAACAAAAACACCAAATCAATTCTTCTATAACATTTTTTAGACTACAGGTTTGCCAAATGTGTTAATACTCAGAATGCTCTTTCTTACCTTCCATTCATAATCCAGTTGTTTAATTGCTCTACATACTTCTGCCATGATATCATTTGGCCTACTTTGACTTCTAATTCCCAAATGCCATTTTGCTTTCCTTACACCTTGGTGTTTGGATTTCTGTGGATTCAATTCATCCAGAGTATGTCGTGCCCTTGGTGTTTCAGCAACCAAGAATGGCACTCTTTCTGGATGGGGTCGAGTTAAATGGTGATCATCAAGAAAAGAATCAGGTGGGCTTGTTGCCAAGTAGAAATCTTTGGCTTCATTCATTATTCTCCTATTATCTATGATAAGGTGGTAGGCAACGGCCAAAGGGTCCTGGTGATTTCTGTTATAAAGGCAGCTAAGAACCTCCTCTTCTGAGCATTCAAATTTTTCACACACTTCTTTTAAGGCTTCATCATCAATCATGGTTGAGCTATATGACGGATCCTCAGGGAAGAGATATTTTGGAAGGTCCTGTTTAAACCATTCATGCTCCCTGAGAAAAATGTAGGATTAAAAGGATTTTGAGTACAGCCAGGAATAAAATCAACATCTTTGAGGAATTTAAAACATACTGTATTATCACTATCATATTTTTTTTTAGTTGTAGATGGACACAATGCCTTTATTTATTTTTATGTGGTGCTGAGGATCAAACCCAGTGCCTCACACACGCCAGGCAAACACTCTGCCACTAAACCACAACCCTAGCCCCTCACTATCATATTTTTAAAAAGAGATTTTCTTCTTCTACCTCACACTTTCTCATATATACTGAGGGAAATGTTCCAGACCCCCTCTGATTTTAAGGACCAATGTAGCAATGGGAAAAGAAATGTCTCCACTTACATTTCAAGTTTTGGAACAAATGATAATAATAAAACACAGCTTATCTCTAGTTTAAAAAAAATGTTTTGTGGCTTCAATATAATAATTTCTTTTTGAAATTTTTTTTAATTGTAGATGGGCACAATATATATATATATATATATATATATATATATATATATATATAATATTTTTTTTTTTTTTTTTTTTGTGCTTTGGATTGAACCCAGTACCTCACATGTGCTATGCAAGCATTTTACCACTGGGCTACAACCCCAGTCCATCATAATATTATTTTGATACAATGTTAAATAAAAAGAATCTAATAACAAAAATAATAGATGACTTACTATTACTATATACTAGGCTTTATGCCAAACAATTCATATAATCTCCTGTCAACACTAAACAACTCTCTGAAAATAACATACTTTTGGGTCTTAAATGAAGGAAATGAGGTTCCAGAAGATCAAGGATCTTGCCAAGTCAGGATAGTAACAGGCAGAGTCAGGACTGYACCCAAGTTCCAGGTGACCCAAAAGGCCATATTCTAAAAGACGTCCTATCTGAATTCCCTAACTTCACACATAAAAGGATACATTTGAACCATGTCAAAAACTATACTAAAAAGGGGGAGAGGGGAACAACAGAGGAAAACACCCAAAAAAACAACGTTATCTTATAGGTGATGGAAATCAAAATAATCTTTATTCCCCTCTTTTTGTTATTTTTCTAAGTCTTTTAACAACTACATATTTTACATTTTAATTGGGAAACAATACATAAAACACAAACAAATACATTTCTCACTTAAGTATTTTAAAATACACATTTTAGGCYGRGCATGGTGGCACACACCTGTAATCCCAATGGCTCGGGAGGTTGAGGTAGGAGGATCCAGAGTTCAAAGCCAGCCTCAGCAAAAGCGAGCAACTCAGTGAGACCCTGTCTCTAACTAAAACACAAAATAGGGCCGGGATGTGGCTCAGTGGTTGAGTGCCCCCACCCCAAGTTCAATCCCCAGTACCAAAAAAAAAAAAAA